ATATAAACAGATTTAGATATGGATAGATATAAACAGATTTAGATATGGATAGATATGGATAGATATAAACAGATTTAGATATGGATAGATTTAGATAGATATAAACAGATTTAGATATGGATAGATTTAGATAGATATAAACAGATTTAGATATGGATAGATATAAACAGATTTAGATATGGATAGATATGGATAAACAGATTTAGATATGGATAGATATAAACAGATTTAGATGTGGATAAATATGGATAGCTATAAACAGATTTAGATGTGGATAGATATAAACAGATTTAGATATGGAAAGATATAAACAGATTTAGATATGGAAAGATATAAACAGATTTAGATATGGAAAGATATGGATAGATATAAACAGATTTAGATATGGATAGATATGGATAGATATAAACAGATTTAGATATGGATAGATATGGATAGATATAAACAGATTTAGATATGGATAGATATAAACAGATTTAGATATGCATAGATTTAGATAGATATAAACAGATTTAGATATGGATAGATTTAGATAGATATAAACAGATTTAGATATGGATAGATTTAGATAGATATAAACAGATTTAGATATGGATAGATTTAGATAGATATAAACAGATTTAGATATGGATAGATATAAACAGATTTAGATATGGATAGATATAAACAGATTTAGATATGGATAGATATAAACAGATTTAGATATGGATAGATTTAGATAGATATAAACAGATTTAGATATGGATAGATTTAGATAAATATAAACAGATTTAGATATGAAAGATTTAGATTTAGATAGATATGAATAGATTTAGATAGATATGAATACAGTTGGATAGATATGAATAGTTTTAGATAGATATGTATAAATTTAGATACATATGAATAGATTTACATAGATATAAATAGATTTACATAGATATAAATAGATTTAGATATTAAAACATAGTTGGATAGATATGAATAGTTCTAGATGGGGTAGATATGTATTTTGTAACTGATAACTGACATCCATTAAAAATGGCACTAGAACAGTCTATCCCAGTGAGCGAAATAATGGGTTCAGTTCGACATTCCAACCACCTGAAGCAGGCTGAAGCGTACAACGGCCGAAACGTTGTAATACATATGGCGACAAAGATGAGGACAATAGTCCGAATAATGTACATAATACCTCATCTCAGAAATATAGACAGATGACGAAGGTAAGTGTTTAAGAGATCTATTATTATAGTATTCATCAGGCATCTGGTAGGAGCATGCAAAAGAACAAATCATGGTAATAACTAGTCTGGCATAATTACTTATATAATGAGTCTCGGGGCTTACTTGTTACCATCTAATGAAATAATGCATATAAAATTGAAAAAAGAAAATCATTCATTTTAACCGGTTAGCGTCCGTTTATCTATATAATAAAAGAATAACTGATTGTCTGTGCTGTGGGTATTTGCGCGTAAGTGAATGTAACGACCCCGACCAGAATTCGAACACGGCTCTCCGATTTCCCATTCTGAGCTGTTGTCCATTACACCACACCACATATTTGTCATGAGAGCTAATTTCCCTGTTCTATTTGGCAACAACCCCTGAATAACAGGAAAAGTCGAAATGTGCAATTAAAAGTACTTAAACGAAATGTATTTGACAGCAAAATGTCGGATTTTTAAATGGTTTGCACATTTACAAATCTACCATTCGACCGTGCATTGAATATTGTACATTTCGAGATCCTTGACAAAATCTAAAGACGAATCTGCAATGTAATCGGCCCTGACATGGCATCTCGACTTCAGTCACTTTCTCACTAACGTGGCGTGACTTTCCTCTGTCTTTCCTACAAATATTTTCATGGCAACGGCTCTTGAAAAGCTTTTTTCCCTGGTGTCCCTACTGCAAGAGTTTAGGCGTGCAACTGAATTGGTACGTAGGTCCCACCCTTTTACTGTTGAAATAGCTGAATGCAACGGCCTCAGTTTCTTTTCTCGCACATCACTCCTGTGGAACTTTCTTCTGTTTACTTGCTTCCCTGATAACTACAATCTTCAAAAACTTAAATCCAACATTAATCGCCATCTTCTTGAATCCCGTTCATCTTTTGTTCTTTCCTCAATTCTCCCTATTCTCAGTGTTCTTTTACACTTTCACTCCTTGCAACCCCTGCGGACTGGTGGCATTCCCGCTTTACTTGAAGTGAAATGATTAAAAAAAAAACACAAAAAGAAAGAAGAGACAAAAAATTTAGATTTGAAATTTGGTCATCTTGCCACCAGCCTAGTGACAGGGACCGAACTCAGTCAGTTATGTGACATGCTTGATACACGCTTAGGCGATCATGTATCGAAAGATACATGATTGACGAGGTAGATTTTTCCCGTAGTATGTTGCCATTTCTTTCTGTGGTAGACCAGTTGCTATCCAAGGCTATAGAACCCGGTGTATCCTGCTATTTACACATAGCTGGGAGAACAAGAAGGGATTCGTACCTTCCTCAAAAGTATTAGCACGTAAGTGAATGTAATGGATTCGACTGGAATTCGAACTCAGCACTCCGATTCCTCAGTCCGAGCCACAATCCATTACTCCACCGTAAAATGTATTGGCCTGAACATGTATTTCAATCCGTAAAGAATGGATATGTTTTCATTTCTTGTTGGTTGTCTTCGATGAAAACAATGTCGTTCCATGATGCACGCCGAGTTTCTAAATGATATACAAGAAATCCCCCCCAAATTTGTGTTCTTCTTCTTCGAACTGTAATTGCGTGCTCCACAAAATAATTCCTCTACTTTTGAAACAAGGCAACATTTACCATTTCTTAATCAGTTCGATTCCAAAGGAATGAGATGAAAAAGAAAATAAGTCTTTGTTTTTCCTAATTTTTTTCCTCTTTGTAATTTGTTGCTTTGTCCTTCTTGAACGTTTCTCCAATCAGTTCCACGATTTTCTGTGATCCAAACAGAATTCTTTGGTTGCCATATTATATTCCTAGATTTTTTATTTAATTTCATGTCCCTTTAGAACGTAAGCAGTCATGTGCCTTCACAGCTTTCTTTAATAACGGTGAATTACCATGGCTTCTTGGTAGATATAATAGTGACTTCACTTTGTCTTTTTCTCGATTTTTAATAAAAATATGTTGTTCCAAACTGGTTGACATTCAAAGATCGAGAGCCTAGTCTGCTGTACTACTTAATCAATACCTGCGAGTTCATGCCTTCCCAAAAGAAGACTTTTTCTTTTACTTTATATTTTCTCTATGCAACTTGTTGCATTGTCTACAATCACTTCCATGATTATCAGTGCTCCAAATTGAACGCTTTAATTTCGATATTATAGTTCTGAACTTTTTAATGCTTTGTACCTTTAGTAGGTAGGTGATCATGGCTCTCCACGGATTCCTTTCTTTGTGATCTGGGTAGTGTCATCTCTTATTGGGAAAAGATAAAGTAGTTTTTCAATTCAGAGTAGTCCTTCTTCGAGTGTGACCGACTGACTGACATGCAAGTCTAGAGAAGTTAGTCTACCCTACTATTTAACCCATAGCTGGGGTCGGGGGAAAAGAAACGGATTCATGCGTTTCCCAAGGGCGTTAAAGAGAAAGTGGACTCTGATGGGGCGGAATTGTAACTCGATTCGGCATTCTGGATTTATTCTGTTGAGCTCCAAATAGGAATTTGTATTTTTTCTTCCGATATTGGTGGTGCATTCATCGGTTGTAATGAGCGACTCCAACAATTGCCATTCGGTGAAAAGCGAAATATGCGACCCGAGTTCGAATTCCGACACTCGTTGCATTCACTTTCACACAAGTACTCTCGGAGAAGTGTGAAGCCATTTCTTCTTTTCCCCAGCTATGGATTAAAGAGCAGCACAGACTAGCTTCTCTAGCCGTGGTTGGCGATCAGTCTAAGAGAAGAACAATTCTGATTTCCTGAGGATGCGCATTCTATACAGCCATGGAAAAGTTTCTGAGGTCTAAAATTAACCGCGACGTAGGATTGCAAGAGGGTTCGAAATCGTCTCCGCAGCTTTGAAGATGATGTATTATTTTACAGCCATCTCCTTTCCTACAGAGGACGAAACGTCGACAGCCTGTCGCTATTTCCATGGCAAATATTCAGAAGAGCAACATTGCTTAATTTAAACATTTCAGACTTTTTACAGCTAAGACCAGCCATACCATATAAATAGGGGCGAAACGACCCCATTCCCTTTTCGCATTTCGTTGGTAAGAAAGAAATTTCTATTCGAGAACCGCTACTTTTCGGAACAGGCTCCCGCGAGGGTGCTTCCCCGATCGCTATAATGTTAATCTCTTCAAGTTTGGAGTATTCTATATATCTTCATAATCTGCATTTCTTTCTTTTTTTTTCTTACGTCCATGCAACATAATTAGTAACCCTTTACATTGAGTGGCTCTTGGGCCTTGGGTGAATAGTAAAAAAAATATACTGTATAATACGTAAAAAATAACATGAATCAAACAAAATGCCATAGTTTTCTATTTTTTTAAAAAAAAATTTCAGGCTTTTGTTGTACTTGAACCATAATAATAATTGATAAACAGTTTTCATCACTAGAAAAAGGTAGTAATAAATCGTGAGCTTTATAGACTGTGTTTTCGAGTGGGCGTTGCGTACAAATGTGCACTTGTTCTTGTCTTGCAGTGCAGTTGATTCACAGAGGTGGTGATGCGGCTCCTTGAGAAAGTAGAGATGATGGCAAAGTTGGACTGAAGCAGTTTCACTCAATAAGAAGAGATCAATCGGACACAGTTCCGTAAGATGAACAAATTGAATCAGTACGAACGTACTAAGATGCTATGCATTGCGAGGAGGAAGAGAGAAGGAAAGAGAAAAGATGGCGTAAGGGAGAGCAACAAATATATATATATATATATATATATATATATATATATAGAGAGAGAGAGAGAGAGAGAGGCTATATATAACGGAATGATGATAAGAGAAAGTGAAAGACAGGAGTGAAAGGGAAAGTTATAATACAAAGGGAAAACTAAGAAAGAATAAGAGGGTGTAAAAGGCATGTAATGGCAAAGAGAGGAATGGAGGTGGAAGGAGAGATTCAAAAGAAAGAAAGAAATAGAAAAAAAGGAACAAGGAAAATAGTATTGGAGAGGAATAAACGAGAAAGAAAAAAGTGTACGTACGTATATAAGGGAACGAGGGTAAGGAAGAAAGAGAGTGAAAGAGAAAAATGTGTATTAATGAATGGGGAAAACTGGACAGATATGAATAGAATGAGATAGATAATGAACAGGCTGAGATAGATAGATAGATAGATAGATAGATAATGAACAGGCTTAGATAGATAGATAGATAGATAGATAGATAGATAGATAGATAATGAACAGGCTTAGATAGATAGATAGATAGATAGATAGATAGATAATGAACAGGCTTAGATAGATAAATAGATAGATAGATAATGAACAGGCTTAGATAGATAAATAGATAGATAGATAGATAATGAACAGGCTTAGATAGATAGATAGATAATGAACAGGCTTAGATAGATAATGAACAGGATTAGATAGATAGATAGATAGATAATGAACAGGCTGAGATAGATAGATAGATAGATAGATAGATAGACAGATAGATAATGAACAGGCTGAAATAGATAGATATATAAGAGCAGAGAGAGATAAATCAGAGCAGATAGATGGATAAAGAGCATAGACAGATAAGAGCATATATATATATATATATATATAGAGATAGATAGATAGATAGATAGATAATATATAGACAGATAAAAGATATCTATCTATCTATCTATATATATATATATATTATAAACTGTTACATTGGAACATACAAGATAGATAAGAGCATCTCTCTCTCTTGTCTCTCTCTCTTTATATATATATATATATATATATATATATATATATATATATATATATATATATAGTTAGGCATTATATACTAAACCTCCTTTCCAAATAGATCAAGTTTTCCTAACAGTTTACTCTTTGAGAAAAACATTAAAATACACGCCCCCTCCTTACATGCTTCATATTTATGAATATATAAACCTTTTTTCTTTCTCTCATTTACTAACTCCTTGCGCTTTAGTTGCTTTATTGCCTTGTTAGTAGTAAAATGATATATATTGCTATATTTATGCTCAGTATCTGACAGGGATCTTTTGAGTGACACATGACTGTCTCTATGTAGTATGCATTTCTGTCCCCACAGCCTCTCTGTCTGTCTATCTATCCTAGTCTCTTTATCTATTATACTTGTCCGTATCTATCTATCTATCTATCTATCTATCTATCTATCTATCTATCTATCTATCTTATGTAATCCATCTAGTTGGCTACATAGTGAAGGCCTCACCAAGGGCTACATACGATTTTCAATTCAGTGTTTTTCCTTTGTTATACTGGTTGCCAACCACGGCTACAGAGCTCTTCCCCCATCCTTGCTATTTAACCTATATCTGGGAGTAATAATAATGATAATAATAATAAAAAGAGCAGATAGATGTTGCGGTACCTGGAGATAAGGACGTCGCATAAGCGGTGCTGGTGAAAATGCAGAGGTACGAAATCATGGTAGAAAAAAATCTGAGAAGTGCACCAAGCTGTAGCTCGAGTTGTTGTTGACGCACTCCGAACTATCTCCAAGCATCTCGCTGCCATGCAAGACGCCTTGAAGTCTGCCTTATGTTATTGGGAGTGCACAGGTGACAGTTCAAATCCCAAGGCAGGTATTGTCTCTCTCACCAGCAGGTAGGAGCTGGCATATAAACACCATCACTCGACCGAAATATCGAAAAGTCAAAGACTAAGAAAAGTGGGAATAATAAAAAAAACAAAAAAAAAAAAAAAACAAAGTTGGGCGCGAACCTTAGGGTCTAGCGCATTATTCATCTCTGTTGACAAGCGGAAGAGAATCATTGCTGGTTGTCAAGAGAGTTGTAATGCAGGTATCTGTGATCTGTTCTACTGGAGGTCATGATGAGTAGAGTGGATTTCATATATTTGTAGGCCAGTTTCACTTTGCTGGTGTATTTCCCACCCCCCACTCAAACAATAATAATCATATCTTCAAGTGCATTTCTGTAAAATGCTCGAGTAGAGTAATAAGCTGAAATGTATTTTTTCTTTTTTTTTTTTTTTTTTTTTTACAAATGATTAAGTAAAAAATGGGGTTAAATAAAGTAAAATGGCGTTTTAAATATCTGTCTATATTTAAATAAAGTAAAATTGATCACACAGCGTTTTGTATAAATATCTGTCTATATCTCTGAGATGAGGTATTATGATTACTTGAATTATTTACATTATTCTGATTGTTATCCTCATCTTCATTGCCATATTCACAACGTTTCGGCCTCTATATCTCTGAGATGAGGTATTATGATTACTTGAATTATTTACATTATTCTGATTGTTATCCTCATCTTCATTGCCATATTCACAACGTTTCGGCCTCTATGTATCTGAGATGAGGTATTATGATTACTTGAATTATTTACATTATTCTGATTGTTATCCTCATCTTCATTGCCATATTCACAACGTTTCGGCCTCTATATCTCTGAGATGAGGTATTATGATTACTTGAATTATTTACATTATTCTGATTGTTATCCTCATCTTCATTGCCATATTCACAACGTTTCGGCCTCTATGTATCTGAGATGAGGTATTATGATTACTTGAATTATTTACATTATTCAGACTGTTGTCCTCCTCATCATTGCCACGTTCACAACATTTCGGCTTCTATATCTCTGAGATGAGGTATTATAATTATTCGCATTATTTACATTATTCTCATTGTTATCCTCATCTTCATTGCCATATTCACAACATTTCGACCGTTGTACGCTCCGGCCTTCTTCAGGTGATGAGAATTTCGAATCGAACCCTTTATTTCGTCTACAGGGCTAGATTGTTCTAGTAGATAAAGACGTTGGTTAGATCCAGTGACTAGGCGCAAAGATTTGTGAGTTCAATACCAGGCCACAGCAGTGGTGAACCAAAAACTTGGAGAGTTGAGTTAAAGGGAAATAACTGAAACATCTGGAAGAGCCATGGCACGTAGAAGTAGGAAAATCTACCCCGGTGGGCGAAATAAAAGTTTCAGTTCGAAATTTCAATCACCTGAAGAAGGCCGGAGTGTGCAACGACCGAAACATTGTGCATATGGCAGTGAAGATGAGGATAACAGTCCGAATAATGTAAATAATGTAAGTTTTGTATAAAATCTACGTTATCTCTAAGTTCCGGGCATATCATTGTGTTTCGAACTTGTCTAACGGAAGTACAAAAATAGCGGATGTAGTTCAGTAAATGCAGCACACGTTTGTTTATAAAAATATATTGTATAATCGGTGAGTCTGTTACGAAAGTGAGCATTTCAGTCATTTCTCGAAAATCTAGCAGATCTTATAATTTTTGCTATTATTCAGTTTTTAAATATTTTCTTTGTTTTTAACAGACGAAAAAAGCTGAAAATAATCAGAGAAAAGAAATTTGGCGTATGATATTTAAAAAGAAATAAAATGGCCGAAGAAAATAGTTTGCTTTCAGATTGAAAACCAGGTTGATATTGGCGTTTGGCGATCTTGATCGACTGAAAAACAAATTTTTAATCTATTTCTTATCGGATAATCCTTTACTTCAGTCTAATCACAGGCGAAATTTCGCATATTTTTTTTTTTTTTAAAGAAAATCATCTTCATGCTGCTTTGCCGATGTCAGCATGAAAAGTCAAACGAACGCCGCTTAGTTACATGACTTGACTTGAGATTGGCTAGCATTTTTCTGATATCGAAAGCCATCAAAATACCTGTGATAGTCACTTTAGTTAGAAAACAGAATTAAAAAAAAATAATTTCTTAAAAAGACAACCGTAAACTTGTCACGAGCTTTGTTGAGTTACCTGCCCTTAAACACTGTTTTAATATCAATTACCTCCCTTAACTAAGCCATTTTTTTTTGAAATTCACGTCTTTTGAAGTGGTGAGTAGACTTATTTTGGTGATTGTAGAATTTACAGGAGAGTTTTTCCATAAAAAATGCTGGGATCAATTATGAATAATGTATTTGATTTGTTCTTTTTTTTTGTTAGAAGATTTTGTTTTATAAAGACTTTGTTTCCTGATTTTCTAGATGTTTGTATTTTAAACATGTTGCCGTGACAGTTGTCAGCATGTGTGCGTGCGTGTGTGTGTGTGTGTGTGAGTGTGTGTAGCGTATGTAACGAATGTGATTTTTTGTCTTACGTAACCGTCAGCATTTTACACGTGTATAAATGTACAATTTTAAGCGAACATTGCTTCATTTGTGAAATTACTATGGGATCCTGGGTATGGTGCTCTGTGTGTGTATATGTGTGTGTGTGTGTGTGTGTGTGTGTGTATGCAGGATAGACAGAGAGAGAGTGAAGCAGTTTTATACTTATCTAGACATAATTTCGTTTTAATTAATAAGATTTAAAGATACCAGCTTTGCTAAATAAATATTGATGTACACACTTAACTTTTCCTTTCTTTATCTACGAACACGCACGCACGTGTGCGCGTGCGTGAGTGCGTTTGTATTTTTATACACTTACCATTTGATTGTGTCATATATATATATATATATATATATTATGTATTTATAGTCCTCATTTATTGAAAAAAGGAAACCTCATATACAAATAAAATATACCTATGAAGGTATATATATATATATATATATATATATATATATATATATATATACCTATGTGTGTGTGTATGTATATATATATATATATATATATATATATATATATATATATTGATTTTATATATAGTTTAGATATATATAAAGAGGTTGATCACACAGTCGTAACTGATATACATGTGTGTATGTATATATATATATATATATATATATATATATATATATATATATATATATTTACTATATGTGTGTGTGTGTGTGTGTATATATATGTTTGTGTGTGTGATTTTATATATATATATT